TGGTTCCTCACCGACTCACCGAGACGTACCAATTACGTACTACAAGGTGACCGAATTTCTCGACTTTCGATACATTAGACCGATCGATTCCGCAACTCCTTTCGATATTCAAATTGCAACGTGTCCGTCATCGAGCGATTGCGCAAAAAGTCAAGCGAAATTTAATTGATTGAAACCCGATGGAAATTCGTATTGGACACCCGGTACGTGCGCGGGGGCATTCTACGTACCTACGACAATAGCTATAGGGCTTTCTACGTAAGACGCGACGCGGCACAGCAGCAGCTGCCCGGTGCCCCTGGCTGCTTCCACCTTTTCGAAGGAGAGTCTGCACTTCTTTTTCTCTTTTTCACCTTTCTTTTCTTCTCCTTTATTCCTTCACTCTTTCACATCCCTCTCCCGCTTCCCCCCCTCTCCTCTCTCTTTCTCTTTCTCCGAGTTACCTCGTATTCCACTGATGGTATTCTTCCGAAAACGAGCCTTAAGAGACCTCCTTCAGGCTAGTCTGGCGCGGTACGTCGGGTCAGGTAAGGTTGATACGTACAACGCCAGGTGTCAAACCAAACCTTCCTTTCTGGACGTTCGTTATTCCCTGTATTGGGTATCGGCTCGTGGTGGAGGAAATTTCGCCGGTACAGCTTTCCTATATTCTTTCGCTTGTTATTTCTTTGATTTTTCCCTTTACTCTTCCTACGTTCCTCTGCTCGGTTTCATTATAGTTCCTTGCGTGGGTCGCGTCCCTGATCTTAACAGGACAGTTTATCAATTTTCGAGATATCAATATCCGCCTGTTACGTGTGCCGTTACGTTCGTATCTGCGAATTCGCAGCTTCCGACATACACTGGACCGCGGATGTGGATGTAGCTGGGAAGGAGAAAATAACGTAGGCACATTTAAGGGACTCGTACCACTGGGCCACGTGTAAATTTCCTATCATGGATAATGTGGCAGTCTGCGTGAATCCGCATTTGGGTAATTAAAAAAAAAAAGGTTTCCATTATCTGTTTCTTTAATTGGTCATGCTTTGCGCTCTTTATAGGAGCCTATCTTTGTAGTAGGAAAATTTTTCTTTTTTACTTCGTCCCTCGCGCCGCGTACACGCGTTTTACGATATTTCGCTTGGTTTAAATTGAAATCCTCAAAAATAATTGTCCCATTAGCCAATTTCATTAATTCGCTACATCTCGTTCGAATTTCGTAGTTACTCGAGACACGCAATCGCCAAAAGTCACTCGGTGCGTCCAACTAATCCTACGCACGCGTGCTCCCCGGCCACACACGCACCTACAACTCAAGGGACCAAGGTCAGGTGTGCGTATGTGCCACGCGTGCAGGCCAGAACTGCCTACCGGAGGCTTAGTGGTGGGTGATGCTAATGTACATACGCGTCGATAGAAACGACGGCACATGTGTCTTCGCACAGCGCCAGAGTGCGTGTGAGCTACATCTGTGAACACAAGGATGGGCGAATCCACTTGTCTATTTCGCGTGCGGCCGACTACAGGTCTATTTAAAAGTTCACGATTTCGAGTTTCGATATATATTCGCCTTGGCACGTGTCTCGCTTATAACGTCTTATACGTACCTGTATACTGGAATGTCGATTAAAATCTTTATTACGGAATAATGCAATTACTTTCCTAATGGGATTTTATTCTTCGGCTTTTATTTTTATCATACGGCCTGCCCTGCGAATTACATTCAGACAGCATTGAGTCTCCTCTGTCTTCTCCGAGTTTCATTTGTCTCGCGTGCATCGGGTGTGGTACAATAGGGATCCAAGCGAACGTCATCCCGAATTATCCCAGCGAGAATACGAGCGACATAACACGGACTGACTAATACGTAAGAGGAGACGATCCTGTTGGCGGGGGCAGGAAGAAGTTGCTGATTGCGCCGCGTGTAAACCCGGCTTTAGCTCCTGGCACTGGAAATGGGTTGTCATTATCGTGAACTCGGCAGGTTTCACGGCGCGGCAGCTCGTAAAGCCGCGAGTTTTCGACTCGCATTCGCACGGGACACACCCAGCCGCCTTTCACGCTCCTTTCTCCGTCTGCGATCTCCTCGCTGTCCTGCAGCTATCACGCGTTATCTCGCACGGCAATGCGCGTGCTGATCTTTGATTTCTAGATCGCGGAATTTCACGTGCGCCGATCGCGGGCAATTCTCGGGCATCCCGCTACGGGGAACTTCTGGAGAGTCTGCGTGGCGACTGGAGCCGAGTCACACGGAGGAACATTGAGATTTCGCTTTAACCGGGGGATGCTGCGGTACATGCATATATGCCCTATAGAAACCGTAGCCGAATGTGGTTGCGGGCAAAGCCAAGAAAATAGGAGAAATATTCCAGGCGCGCTCACGCTGAGACAGGACCTCGCAATCACCGCTTGACTCTCTGCCAAAAATCCTCTTCTTTCTTCTTTCTCTTTTTTTTTTCACCCCGTTTTCTCTTTCACCCCCGGTTTTCCTTCTCCACTCTCCCTCGTCCATCTCTTCCGACGTTCCTGGATGGTTCACTCATTCCTCACGCGACTCCACGCCAAGGAACGATCCTTCTGCCGCAGCCACCTTAATTCCTGTATCTTTTCCTCGTACGTCTTATATCTCGCCTACGATTTTATTCGTGCAGTCCACTTTCGTTCCTTCCTCTCCCGTCTCCCTCTACTGGCGCTCGGCAGAGCAGTTTTCCTAAATACGAAACGATCCTGCGCAACGCATTGGCTCCGTAATCACCGATTTAGCTTGACGGATATACTGCGCTATCCGGTCTAGACGACATTAAGGCGCATAAAGCAACGGAGACGTCCGACGTCCGACGTCCCTCCGGAATAACGGCGTTTCGCGAGCCTGTATCTGCCTGGGGGGATCTTCAATTTCGATTTGGAAATTCCAGCTGCAAAGGGAGTTGCGTATATTCTTCGCTCGCGGATAATAAAAGGAGTCGTAGAGGAGAAAATCATTGGAAAGTTCCTTCTCGAGCTTTTATGCTGTTAACCGAGGACTGTATTTATTTTCAATTCTTCGCGCTGACTTACCGCCGTTGATACTTTGAAAAATATGTTTTCCACCTTCCAGTGCATTCCGCTGGAGTGTCGTTTCTCGACTCTGCAGAATTTCCTGCAGCGGCCCAGCTTGAAGATACGTTGAGTTCCCAGGTGATGGATCCATCGACGGGGAACGGTGCCAGATATATTTTTATCAGATAGCAACGCGTGGGGCTCGGAGGTCCACGTGTATCGGTGGGATCTCTTGCTCAGCGAAAGTACATACGATAATCCGCTAGGGTCAGTTGCAGCGAAGAGCCAAAGGACTTTAGTCAGCCGGATAAAGAGATGATAAAAAAAAGTCCCGCCTCTTGAGTCTCTCATCGCGATGGGAAAAGAATTACGGCGGGAGGACCGACTGTACGCTACCTCGTGGGTTATACCCACATTTACCGGAGCTCACGTGCTGTCCGGTTGTTGCGCAACACTTTCTTCCTCTTTTATCTCGACGAATTCAGGCACCACGTGATCGCGAGTATCTCGATCCTCTCGAAGTTTCTGTATCGGGAATTCCAGTTCTCCTGAATCCGACCAAATCAAGTGCATCGGAAAACATCGATGATTTTTCGTGTATTGACAAACATGGAAGAAACAGATCGATCAAACAATCGATACGAAGTCGAGAGATAGTTATCTTAACGAACGATGGATTTGTCAGATCCAACCTCTTTATGCCGAAATAGGGCAATAAATCGTCATCAATCCAGATTTCTTTCGATAGTTTTCTTGAATTGTGTATTCTTAAGTAAGGTACACCTGTTAGTCTTAGGACGGAGACAATTCTGTGTCCACGTCAAAGTTTAACGGTGTGTCCTTCCACGTGGCAAGAAAGGCGCGCGTCACGTTCTTGTAATAAACCTTGGCCGGTGATTAAACGAACTATTTATTAGCATGCTAAACCTAAATACCGCGCGTATAATATATATATGTAGCTATAGTTAAGCGTGAATTCACAATCAACGTTCCCTCTTGACCGGGAGTTTTTAGTGCCATCGTCCTACCGATAGGTTTACCCCAAGACCCACGCTGATAGACCAGTAAACTTGCACTAACTTTAGATTATAAGAAAGTATTGTTCGCAAAAGAAAAAAAAAAACGTCTTGCCTCGTTGCCGGCAATGCGCCGGTTTATCTTTCAGGCGGCGGCACTGTGCGCCATTAACTTCCGCTTCTTTTACTATCGCCACGCGCTTCGTAACCCTTTGAAAAATCTTACAGCTCGATACGCGCACGCCGCGATACGTAATGTTTCCAAGGACTTTATTGCTGCGGGCAATCCGCATAGAGAGAGAGAGAGAGAGAGAGATTGCTTCGTATCAATTTTCCAAGTTCCTTCCTCTTGGCAATCACAATACGGCGGAATAACGTTCCTCAGCGGTAGCTCGTGGCGAGGATGGAGTAGGTGGTGAACGGGCGGGTGGTGAACGGTGGGTGGGAGTAGAAGGAGGAAGCAAAACGCAATAGAAAGAGGGAACGGGTTAAGGTACTGTCCAAGGTTGCTGCGCAGGAAAGACGCCAGCGAATCCATCTATCACTACTATCACTATTACTACCAGTACTAGCACCTACTGCTGGCCCGTCTGCCCATTTAACGATGCGCCGAGACGCCTTGGACTGCAGCCAGCGAAACGGCCGGAGTTCTTAGTCATCGAATGTGCCGAGGAACACCGCGCGCGCCACACACGCGAGGCCGTGTGGGAAGACCCTCCCAAGGAAGGAGAATACACGTCTAATAAAAGATCCTAACCCTGTAACGTAATTCCACCCGCGCACCAATAATAGGAGAAGAGGGCGAAGGCATTCGAATTTCGTGCTGCCTGTAATACATGTAACCTAAATCGACCATTGTACTCGGTATGGCTTATTGATCTAGGATCGATTGATTTCTGTACCGGTCGAACTGATATGACTAACGTAGATCAGTCGACCGTGGAGAAAGTGACTTTTCCATTCACCTTTTAATATACAGGCAACGCGGACTCTCCCTCGTTCTTATACTTTCGTTGCCGATACAGATTGATAGTACGTAGAGACATGGTTATCTGTGCTCTCTCTCTCTCTCTCTCTCTCTCTCTCTCTCTCTCTCTCTCTCTTTCTCCTTATCTCGCCTCTCTCCCTCTCTCTGTCTTTCGCTTATTGGCCTATTACAAGGAGTACGGTAATATTGCGCAACGGTATCATGAACGTCGTTATATCAATGTAGGTCATGTAACGAGGTATAATTCGTTTTACGAGACTCTCTTATCCGTGACTACATGTACTATTATTTATTACATAATATATATGTACCATGTCGCTGATACATAAGTATCATTTAATTAGGGAGAATCGAGTGATTATAATAATTCCGTCGCCCCGTATTTATCTTTTGACGCAAATATGCGCATCGTGGGCGAGAGACTCTCTTGCGTTTCTCATCCGACTGGCTTAGGTGCTTGATAGTTCGATTTTGCAAACTTTCAGACTTGGCCAGAAACTCGTCGCCGATACGAGACGCGACTCGCGAACGATAGCGCGATATCCGGCATGGTCGTTCGAGATGTGGCCGTGATTACAGGGGGGGCACTTAGTTGCCGGCTTATATGTCGATGAGAGCATTAATCAATTCGTCATGTCGACGACAGTCAAGACATTTCTAATTAACCACGAGTACTTATCGCTCAACTACTAGGTCACTCAGAAGCGTCTTGCGATTGGGAGATACGGTGATGTAGTAACGCCTAATATATTTCATTTTCGAAGCGTCGCGATTTCACGTCTTTGCTATGTAGATTTGCACGCGCGCCAGAAAACTCTGGTGTACAGTCACCACCGAGGCTACAAATTTCCTGCAGGATATTTTTCGGAAGTGACGTGCGTGCCGCACAGCAAACCTTAAATGTAGACTAATCAAGTACTCCGATCGAGGCAACTTGGATTCGGTGGTCTTTTCCTCGTTTAATGTTGGCAACCGTCGCGAATCGCACCCACGGGGCACAGGAACTCGTCCGGTATAAGGCACTTCCCGTAGGAAGTCTTGTCACGATTAGGCGACGAACTACGTGCCGCGCGCGGTTCTCTTGTCGCTTAACGTGGTCAGTCGCGTCCGCTTGGTTCGGCCCTGTCAGGATGGACTCGAGTTTAAGGACCCTGCGTCCTTTAACGACCACTGCTGACTCCTCAACGAGTCTCGCCCACGAACTTCTACTTCCTCCGGAATGGCTCTTGGCGCGATTTCTCTTCCCATACGGGATGCGTCCGTGGAACTGTGCTCCGAGCAAGATCAGCCTCCGGCCAGTCCCGAGGACTGGGTACTATGGGTTAATGTTTTTGGATATTTTAAGTATATATTATTTGCAGGGGCCATGTCTCTAGATGTACTGACCTACGTCGGTAACACTTAACAGCCAGCTTATATTGATCTCGGGATCGTTAGGATTTTTATACGCTTCGTTTTCTGCCGCTCGCGAACGACTCCTCGTCACAGCCTCTTCTCGCTGCACCTTCGCTTCTCTATGGAGACGAGAACAGGCGATGCTACTTCTTTTAATTCTCCCCGCGGGTCATTAGAAATAGAACCCGTCTCTGCCGATCGGAAATAGAAAATTGTGGTATCCACCGTAGGTGAACGTTCTGCTCATGTCGTCTCTTCGTCCGACGAATGACGCCTAGACGCATCCATCCAGCATCTTGCCACCGATGGACCCCCAATCTCCTTTCAATAAGATATATCGCCTATAAGTGCTCTCAGGATTCTTGGAGAATCCCACGAATTTTTCGACAGCTCTGAACTCTCCATTGTATAATACATTTTACATGTTGCAGATCGTTACAAGTACACGAGGAATATGGGATGCGGCATTCCGAGATTTTGCGAATTCAGCGACTGGCCGGCGGGTCCGGTTTGGGTGGTCCACTTCGATATCAGAACTCTATTATTCTCTGGCTGCAGTGCGATCAGGTACAAACAATTTGGGAATTGTCTATGGGACACCCGGTATATAGATAGAGTCCCGCTACCGAGATAGGCCTTTTAGTAACGCCGGTTCTCGAATCATTTTCGTATTAAGACATTTTCAATCCTCCCGCCACGCTCCACATCCCCCTCGTCCCTCCCGCGCCTGATCGTTCTGCCTAATTTCATCTCTCATCTCAATGCCACCGACCTACATTATACTGTATCTATAGACCATTGTATGTAAAGCCGCTTTGACTCGCTCGCCGCTCGTAGGCTTCGCTCGTTCGCTTATTTGTTCGCGAAACACGGAGAACTTTCGCTGAAATGGTTAGGTAACAGTTTGCCCGAGAGACTGGCCCGTATTGGCCTATCGGCTCCTTCGGTGCTCGGATGCCGTTCAGTTGGCAGCATGTCGGGCAAGCACAGACTCCCGTGGAATTTCGATTTTTCCTCGCGCCGCGGCGTTTCGCTCGACAGCTAGAGGCTACTAGCTTAGAATTTACTTTTATCCTCGCTGCTGCCGAAGCCGGAACCCGCAGCCCTCACCCGCGTCTCCCGCTTCTCTCCGCCTCTTTGGTTCGTATGCTCTCACGTGATTCTGGAATTTTAATTGGCAACAAAAGTCATTGGGCTTTGTGAAAAAGAAGTCGGATCGCCAGATCACGCGACCTGACCCGATTCCTTCCTGATCCACATTTCGAAGGTTCCCAACAGGAGCGGCTAAAGGATCCTCCTCTTGGTGACCGATAAGTCGTAACAACCACGGTAAAATAATAAACCAATTCCTCGAAGAGGATTCGTGTATATCGATACCGTACATGGTTTATCCCGAGTTGGTATCGCGTTCTTTTTAGTTAACCGTTTGAGATGCCGTTAATTAACTTTCTGCAAGTTTCCCACGTGCGGCGCGCCGCGTGTCCCTTCACTTCTGTATCGTTTCGCAGACTCATTCCGCGTTTCCCTCTGAGAGACGGAACGTGCGGTTGCCAACTTTTACCGTGAAAATAAAAGAAGATCAAGAAATACACAAAATAAGAAAACATCGGGCACAGTATATATGTCAAAGTCAATTGAGCAATTCCTCAATGAAGATTCAAAGTGTTTTAACAGCTATAGACAAAACCCGACTCCTCCGCGTTTATTCGCCAGTATAGGATCAAACCGATTCTCAGTATTTCACGTAACTATATATATATACACACACACACACGCCCAATTCCTTATTTTTATCTTGCTCTAAAAAAGAATAAGCAACCTACGAAAAGAATGGTCCCACAGAGTCGTAAAATTCGCAGAAACCAGAGTTCTCTCGTCTGCTGCGTGATTTGTCGGCATTGAGTCCTTCACCCCC